GTTCGTGTGTGTAAATCTTTAATATTTTTCTGAAGCGGGCCAAATGAGTTTTAGAAAGTTCTTTTGAATGTAAAATTATTTTTCCTCACAAGTTATGATATCAGAATTTTTGTATGTTAAAGGTGAGGTCGTCACTATTTTTGTACCTCGTTAAGAGGTGTTTTTGTTTGATCATATATGTACTGCTGTATGAGTAACCAAGCAATTTCAGACGCTTCGGGGTATTTTAAGTTCAATTTATTAAAAATCTTAAAGCATACATCCAACGACTCTATAAAGGAGTCAAACTTATATAATGACATCAAAAAAAGGAAATTTCCTGTCAAATTTTCTATGCATTCACCTTCAACTATCATGTTCAATATACAAAAGTCACATGGATAATTGTGCAATTCATGTTTGCATGAATGTATGTGTACGAGAGGTAGACGCACATTCCGATGTCTTGGTTTCCTAGGCAACCGCTTAAGGAAACGGGACTATCGTGCTTCTTTTTCCTATCTTCTCGTTGTTCTTTTTCTCTCTTGATATTCTCGTTCATGCGGTTCACACAATCTAAGCTTGCATTATTATTTGTTCATTGGGAGGTTGTCTGTTTAATACTTAATTGTATTACATCTATTCATTAACAAAACCATAGGTTATGGGCCCAGACACAATTGCAGTGAATAAATAATAGTGCTTTAATTGTTACAATTTGAAAGTGCATAAAAGTGAACTAATTATATGTGTGTGTGTGCATTCGAATATGCGCATCTACATATGTATGTACATATATGTACATACGTGCGGAGTGGTCCATGAAGGACAAAAAGGAATTCCTGAACAATAAAGAGGATTAAATTAGTTTTGTGTATAACGCTGCGACAAATTCGTGGCAAAACATTTTTCTATTTCCAGGAAGAAGCGCATACATATCACCAATTCGCCGTGATCTTTCTAGAACACAATTAATGAAATATGTGAGTACAATGTACCTATTATAAAATTTCAATTGAACAGTAAAATATTTACGTCTAAAATTTCTAATAGTGCTGAATATCGATTATGGCATGAAAGATTAGGCCACATAAGTGTAGGAAAATTTTTAGAAATAAAACGAAATAGTCTTTTTGAAGATACTAATATATTAAACAAAATTGATTTAAAACTATGAATTATGCGAGGCTTGTATAAATGGCAAGCAAGCTAGATTAAAGTTTCAAAAATTTAAAAATAAAGAAAATATTACACGACCATTGTTTGTTGTCCATTCCGATGTCTGTGGTCCAATAACACCCTCTACCATTGATAATAAGAACTACTATGTAGTCTTTATTGATCAGTATACACATTACTGTGTGACCTATTTAATAACTTATAAGTCGGATGTGTTTTTGTTTTCAAAGACTTCGTAGCGAAGTGCGAGGCTCACTTCAATTTAAAAATTGTGAATTTGTATATCGATAATGGAAGGGAATATCTTTCTAACGAAATGCGTGATTTCTGTGTCGAAAAAGGCATCAGCTATCATTTAACGGTTCCTCATACTCCACAATTGAATGGTGTATCAGAACGGATGATTCGAACAATCACCGAAAAGGCTCGATCTATGATCAGTTGTGCTAAGCTCAATAAGCATTTTTGGGGTGAGGCTGTTTTAACAGCAATTAATTTAATTAACAGATCCCCAAGTAGAGCATTGCAAAAGATTAATAAAACACCATTTGAGATGTGGCGTAACAAAAAGCCAACATTGAAATATCTTAAAATATTTGGTTCGACGGCATATGCTTTGAATAAAATACGAAAAAGAAAGTTTGACGAAAAGTCAATTAAAGCTATACTTGTTGGATATGAACCAAATGGTTATAAGTTGTGGTCTGAGGAATCGAGGAAATTTATGACAGCAAGAGATGTTGTGGTGGATGAAATAAACATGTTAAAATCAAGAGTTTTACATGGGGAAGATTCTGAGGTTCAAAGTAATACTGTTGAACAAAATAATGAATCTTTAAGTAAAGGAAATGAAGAGTTGGTTTTTCCTTTGATAGAAAATAATGAATCTGTTGATTCTGAGTTAAGTGAACATCTCAATGAAAATTCCACATGTCTAGAGAATGCCGATCCAGTTGTTAAAGCTGGTGATAAATTAAAAGAAAATAAAAGGGAAGAAGAAATCAGACGCAGTGAAAGAATTAAAAGTAGACCCAAATTATCATATCGATTTTTAGAAAGATATCTCATGATATCTCTTTCTGGGAGAAAGCTATACAAGATGAACTTAATTCTCATTTTCAAAATAATACTTGGTCCTTAGTGCATAAGCCAGAAAATAAAAACATAGTTGACTGCAGATGGGTATTTAGTATAAAACAAGATGAATTTGGGAACTTAGTAAAGTATAAAGCAAGACTTGTAGCGCGGGGCTTCACTGAAGAATATGTGACTGATTACGATGAGACATTTGCACCAGTTGCACGAATTTCCAGTTTTAGATTTTTGTTGGCACTTTCAAATCAATACGATTTAATGGTTCATCATATGGACGTAAAAACCGCCTTTTTAAACGGAACTCTAAAGGATGAAATCTACATGAGCGTTCCAAAAGGCCTGAATCACTCTTATGAAAATAAAGTATGTAAACTTAATAAAGCTATATATGGTCTTAAGCAAGCTGCTAGATGTTGGTTCGAAGTTTTTGAAAGTGTGTTGAAGGATGTTGGATTTAAAAACTTAGGAGTTGATCGGTGTATTTATATTTTGGATAAGGGAGATATTTCGAGAAATATATATTTCTTGTTATATGTGGACGATGTAGTAATTGCTACAAACAAATCTGATACAATGTCCAATTTTAAATCTTACCTTCATGACAAGTTTCAAATGACCGATTTACGTGAAACTAGACACTTTATTGGCATAAAAATTGATAGAACTAATGGAGAGATTTGTCTTAGTCAGTCCGCATACATTAAAAATGTATTGAGAAAATGTAATATGGAAGAGTGTAATTCAGTTAGTACTCCCCTCCCAAGTAAGTTAGACTATACAGCTCTGCAATCAAAAGAATTATGTGATGCACCGTTTAGAAATTTAATTGGTTGTGTGATGTACATAATGTTATGTACACGGCCCGATTTAAGTACTTCAATAAGTATTCTAAGCAGATATACAAACAACAACAATAAGGAACTATGGCAATGCCTTAAGAGAGTTCTTAGATATCTGAAGGGAACTGTTAATATCAAGCTTAGATTCAAGAAGGTAGCTAATTTTAATAATATTCTTACAGGCTATGTAGATTCCGATGGGGCTGGAAATGAAACTGACAGAAGAAGTACCACGGGGTACCTTTTTAAAATGTTTGAAAATTGTTTGGTTTCATGGAGTACCATGAAGCAAAAGTCGGTTGCTGCTTCATCTACTGAAGCAGAATACATGGCCTTGTTTGAAGGTGTAAGAGAAGCTCTTTGGTTAAAATCGCTAATAAATGAGATTAATCTAGAATTAAGTGGTCCTATTGATATTTTTGAAGACAAGGTTGTATAAGTATTGCAAATAATCCTACTTGCCATAAGAGAACAAAGCACAAAGATATTAAATATCACTTTACAAGAGAGCAAATTGAAAAGAAACTAATTTGTGTAAAGTATATTCCCACAGATCTGCAACTAGCCGACATATTGACGAAGCCATTACCATCTGCCCGGTTTATTTCCCTGAGAAGCCAGCTGGGTCTTTTTGAATAATCCAACTACGAACCTGGTGAACTGTTGCTGAAAATCCATCGAAGCAAAACATGAAATGGATCCCATGAAGTCATTTATGATTATTTTTTTTTACTTACTAAGACTTAAGTAATTGAATTGAATTCATATTCTTGTTTATTTTTTCAAATGGATCTCATGAAGTAATTAATTTTAATTTTCATATTTACTGTTTATTCCTGTTTAATTTCATTTGTCAAAGCTTTAATTATGTTAATATTTGTATGGATCTAGTTGGGTTTTACTGGGTTTCCCCAACTCTTGCAGCAAATGCTGGATCTAATGTATCCCCAGAATTGAAAAAGAAAAGAAATGACATGAAGAAACAAATTAAAACTAAAGCACAAACTCTCGTCAGGAATTGAAGTGATAATCAATGTAATTTTTGAGGCGGCGTGTTGGAGTTTGCATGTTCAAATTTACAAAAGTCACATGGATAATTGTGCAATTCATGTTTGCATGAATGTATGTGTACGAGAGGTAGACGCACATTCCGATGTCTTGGTTTCCTAGGCAACCGCTTAAGGAAACGGGACTATCGTGCTTCTTTTTCCTATCTTCTCGTTGTTCTTTTTCTCTCTTGATATTCTCGTTCACTTCGATTCTGGCGTTGAGAGCGTGCGGTTCACACAATCTAAGCTTGCATTATTATTTGTTCATTGGGAGGTTGTCTGTTTAATACTTAATTGTATTACATCTATTCATTAACAAAACCATACTGAGCTTAAATAATACTTAATAATTAGCTGGTGAAGCTTTACCTCATAGTCCGCAATGGAATTGATTCTGAGGAACAGACTTTCCTGCGAGTGATTGATACAGTTTTTTGAGCTGTCTTTAATAGCTTAAGGCACTCGTTGTTTTGCATTTGCTTTTCGTACAAGCAAAAAACCTTTTCCCTAAATGGGTCCAATTTACTAGATCATAATAAATATAAGCAAGATGATTTTTGAAAATTTTTTTTGCAGTTACTTTTAATTTTTTTGAAGAAATTTTTTTGCATAAAAAAATTTAAGTTTTTAAGTCGAGAAAAAACGTTTAAAAAGTAGATTTAAAAGTAGATTTACAAAAATTCGTCCTTTTCAATAAATACTGAATGGGGTAAGAAATATATTGTATCATTCAAATGACATTTAAATTACCTTTCCATTGATGCTCAAAGTTTACAAGAAGTAAGTTTAAATTATGAGTATATTTAACTTTTGTTTTGTCAAACTACTTATGCCGACCAGTGTATTTTGGCCACTCCTTTAAAAATTGTGGACCATCCCGCAAATCGATGTCTTTTTTGCGTTGGGCATGGTACTGCCTCCATTTTTGACACTCTGAGATCCAATCGGAAATTTCTCGCTTTAACTCTGCTTTCAAAGCAAAGCTAGTTATGTCAGCAAAACTACTGGTTTAGGACACAGGAACGGATTCCTGTAACTGACCGGATCGTCTGCGCTTCAAAAGCTTTGACATTAGATTTGCGTACTTCCAGTACAGTTTTCCTGCAGGATGCTTTTGTGTAAGGCTACGGGGCCTGTAGTAAACGTCCTGGAAGAAATTAATAAAAGCCTAAATGCAGCGTTGGAAACTTAATGTAGAACAGATTTGTTAAGCCACAACACAATTCAAAACAAGTGAGAACGCTATAGTCGAGTACCTCGACTATCAGATACCCGTTACTCAGCTAAATGGACCAAAGGGAAATGGAGATATGCAAGCAGTAAAACGAGATTGAAATGCGCCACCTACCCGCGATCTCACTATATGGTTAAGTGGGCGGTAGACAGATTTAGGCGTTATCGGCGTTAGGGTAGACGTGGCAAACTTTTTTTGTGGTCAATCGATAGGTATTGACGAAACTAATACATTTCAGTTAACACTTTTTTCTAGCATGAACATTGTGGGCGCCACAGACTTATGCGGTTTGTGGGCGTTAGAGTGGGCGTGGCAAACTTTTTTTTGGATCAATCGATAGGTATTAACAAGACAAACACATTTCAATTAAAATTTTGTATCTAACATTAAAATTGTGGGCACTACAGATTTGCTCGGTTTGTGAGCGTTAGTGTGGGCGTGGCATCTTTGCGTAACAAACTTGCACTGCGTACAAGGCTACGGAATTTAAATCTGAGATCCTATTTCTCTATCTATGATAGTTTCCGAGATATCCGCGTTCGTATTAAGGATTTTTTAAAGTTTGTGGGCGGTTTGTCGGCGTTAAAGTGGGCGTGGCATAAATTTTTTAGGTTAATCGTTAGGTATTGATGGGGATAATACATTTCAGTTAAAATTTGTGTTTTAGCATCAAAACTGTAGGAGCAACAGTTTCGGGCGGTTTGTGGACGTTAGAGTGGGCGTGGCACATTGCTGAAAAAAACTTGCGCTGCGTAAAAAGCTCAGGAATCTGCATGCCAAATCCCAATAGCCTAGCTCTTATAGTTTCCGAGATCTCAGCGTTCATCCGGTCGGACAGACAGACGGACAGACGGTCAGACGGACATGGCTAGATCGACTCGGCTTGTGATCCTGATCAAGAATACATACATGTTACATACTTTCTGACGAATTTAGTGTACCCTTTTACTCTACGAGTAACGGGTATAAACATTGATAGTGTTTAGATTTTGTACAAAGCACGGTCATAACTTACTCTCCAGTTCTTCGAGGGAAATACCGCCACGATTTGGTCCACAATATCAGCAAAATCTATAGTTTTAAGCGTCTGCTGCCTAGCTGAGATTTCCTCTGTAATGATATTAATTATCTGGTCTCTTTGATCTGCCGTTAAGTTGTTGGTCGTCAATTAAAAAGCCCAAGATTAAACTCTACATTATCTGAAAGGATTTCACCTGTAGGTTACGACCCCAGACCTAGAAACTTTCCATCACGTCACAGTTTAAAAAAAATCGTGGTTAAAGTATCAATTAGCTCAGTTGTTAAACTGTGGTGTGATGGAAAGTTTCTGACTTGAGTCGTAAAATCTTTTCAGATTATGTAGCGTTAAATCTTTACCAATTTGGGTTTCGCACCTGAGTCTACACCGAAATTCTATTATTGTTCTTCAATACATACCTGTGATTTTTGCCAGCCTAACAGTTTGTACCGAAACGCAGCTCGAATACCTCCATTGCCAATGGCATCTAACTAATTTTTAATTTTTTAAAAATAAAAACAAATTAATTTAAAAAAATATTTTATATAATATTTAGGTTTTGCCCCCACAAATATAAAATTGTTTTTAAATTTAATAAATACATCAGTTTATCACCTAAAATAACATAGCACACTTGCGTCATTTTGCCCGATATATAACACGAAAGCTTGTTGTTATATCGGCGTGTCGATATCGATATCGATATCGATGTCACTCGTTGTTGTAGTGATGGTACGCGGCGATTTTTGTTTAAAAAAACAACGAATGACAGCATAAGCAAACAAATAAAAAATTTAAATAAAACGGTAATTGTATTTGCTGCTAAGCACTTAAAAGGTGCTAAACGTGTGCTTTTTCTGCTGCTCAAATAAGAGCTCAAAAGGGTGATATAAAAAGCGCTTAATGTGTGCTAGTTTTTGAGCACTGGTGAACCCTAGGACATATCAATGTTAATTGAACGCTTAGTAATGAATATTTTGCATTTATTATTGTTTGTGTTCTTGTCTAATCTGAATAGACAATGTTTGGTCACTCCGCGGGACGAGGGAGTATGAACGCTCGTCGCGGGCACGGGGACGCTGTGTCTGACAGCACGATCGCGTCGCGGCACGGATAACTACGGGTAGCACGGTGCCGGACCACAGGCGATACAGGACTGTGCGGGGGTGAGTTCACGAATGTTAGTGTAACTGGTGGTAGACAGAGCGTTGACAAGGGGGTACTGAACACTAGATAGGACAGGACGATCGTGTCGCGACACAGGTATCTATAGCTACTACGGTGCCGGATCACAGGAGTTATAAGAACTGTTCTAGGATGGGTTGACGGGAGTCAACCGATGATGGAAATAATGAATCATGTGTGGTGTAGGTTTGTAACTGTCTTTACTGAGCTGTTAATCAGGGCTTAAATACTATTCTGACCCGTAAATTGGGCGTATAAATTATCTGATGTGTAGTGCATCTGCGTTGGGGCAGCACCTGTACTTGGGTCGACCTAGTTTGGCCTCGAGTTCGTTGACTGGTCGTTTAGGCTGCAATGTCAGCAGTATGCTGCCTGTTGGGCTGTTCCGCTGAGTCTTTGCCGACTGTCCCAAACTTGCAGCGGCGGCACTATATTGTGCTGCTACTGTGCGCCTGGTCGCTGTTCCGTTAAAGTTGCATTGATTGTATATTTTGCTCGCTGATAACGTAGAACTCCGTCGTGTTGGGAGTTGCGTGCTTTTGACCCGTGCTTCGCTGAGGTTTCGTTAATCATCTAAAAAAACTGCTGTATTCGTCGGGTCTCAGTTTGTCGCAATGGTGATTTGTCACTACGAAATCGTTCTGGACCTTGACGGCTCGATGCGTTCTACTTGTGTTCCCAACTGTTGGTCTTAACTGGATAATATCTCAGGGTTTTATGTACGTCGTCAAAGCCGTACAGTCTTGAGCCGTAGATGGCCTACGTTATGCTCCAAATCGGCATGTAACGGTCCACGAGGGCTCCTTCATCCATCTTCCTCACGATCGTTTTGGTGTTGCTCGGTTGGCTGTGCTTGCTGTTACCTTGCGTGGTCCTCCAGTGCTGAACGCCGATCCCATGGAGATATATTATGACTCCAATAGTGATTCGGGCCACGAGTAATAACCACGTCCTCCTCTTTTTTTATGTATACTTACTTATATACAACTAAATATATTCTTGAATAGCAACGATTTAGTTTTTTTTGTTTTTTTTTATTCTGTGGTTGTCAGCGTTTTCACCCGACTCATGGGTATTGGAGATGTGATGCCCTGTTCCGCGACGTTCTCTTGGTGAAACCTTCTTGTACTCTTAACCTTTCTGATGAGTTCCAAAATTGCTGCTAGCAACAGTATTATTACGAAACCTGTTGCAATGGAGATTGTTTTAACGTAGTTCCCCTGCGTATTCGATGTCGTCTCTAGATCCCCTCTTTCTAGCTGCTCTTGTAGTTGATGGACTTCTCTCTGTAGGTGATTTAGGTTACCTTATCGCCTCCTCCAGCGTGTCGGCTCCGGATAAACAATCGTCGACATAGAAGTTTTGTTGAATGGCGTGTGCACCTAGCTGCTGGCTTGCCGGCGCTACCTGTGCCAAATGTTGTAAACATTTTGTTGCTAAGTAAGGCGCACATTCAGTCCCATGTTTGACCGTGTTTAATTGAAAATACCGCATTTTCTCTAGTGGGTTTCGTCGCCATAGTGTAAGTTGATAGCCCTTGTCTTCAAAATGAACCCAGATCTGTCGATACATTTTTTCCACGTCTGCTGTGAACACGAACCGGTGAGTTCGGAACCGTAACAAAATTGATAGCAAATCATTCTGAATTGTCGGCCCTACCCTTAGGATGATGTTAAGGCTCCTTCCTGTCCTCTAGGAGCCGAAGCGTCGAAGACCACTATCAATTTTGTGGCGGAGCTGTCTGGTTTTAGGACGCAATGGTGGGGAATGAAATAATGATTCCTTGGTACACTGGAAAACTGTACCTCCGCCATGTGATCAAACCGCTCATATTCATCCATAAAGTTCACGTATCCTTCTAGCGTTGCCGGATCCCGTTCTAGCCAACGCTGATGTTGTCCCCAGCACCCTTGGATTTTCCGCGAACGGCCCCCTTACCATTAAAAAATGTTCTTCCCAAAGTCTCTCTTGGACTATCATTGCAGGTACCTCGGTGTTAAATGTAACTAGCTTCCACAAATTTTCCAGGGCTGGTAACGGATCCTCCCGTGTTCTTGTCGTGATATTTTCTGCCATGGCTGCTGGCAATCTTCGCCTAAGTGTGCCGTATGCAATCCACCCAAGAGTGGTTTCTTGTAGGGTTGGCTTATCCGTCCCCAACTCGATAAGTCCGGGTCTTACCAATCGTGAGTATACCTCGGCTCCCAGAAGTAAATCTATGCGTCCGGGTTGCCCGAACCTTGGGTCCACCAACACTACCTCGCTCGGAATACTAAGTTCTTTATCTATGGAATCCGATGGTTGGTTTTCCATCAGTTGTGGTAGGATAAACACATCGATCTCCTACTGAAAAGTTGAATTTAATGATGACAGCAGCACACGTGCCCGTGACGGGAATCCCTGCGCTTGTTGTCCAACTCCGTGAATACTTGGCGATGAACTGGTGATGGGAAGCGCAAGTTGATCTGCCATTCTTCTGGACATGAGATTCAGCTGAGAGCCACAGTCTATAATTGTGCGACAATTTTCTCGTTGTGTGTTTTGTCCTTGTACTGCCACAATGGCTGTGGCGAGTAATACGTATGTTGTTCAAGGGCCAACGCAAACACCTTGTTGATCATTGGGATTTGCTGCTTTGGATCTGACGCATCCATCGCTTGCAATGGTTGACCTATGGTAGCGATGCCTGGCCTTCAATCGCAACCAGGTGTCGTCATAACCACCCTTGGAGAAGGCTGTGTCTGTCAAGACGTTCCTTGCTTCAACACGAAGCGAGCTCTGTAGAATATGTAGTTTTTGACTGGCCGAATATGGTTTATTATGTACTAACTCTACAAAGAGATCATGGAACCGTGGCCAGTCTAGATACTCGCCATTGAATTCCGGAATGCTAATTGGCGGGAGTGCCAAGTTTAGACGTCGTTTTCTCGAAGCGGGTTCATTTCGTATTCCTCATATAATGTGTGGAATTGGGATAGCTCTGCTTCTGCCACGGTCCCAGGCGTGCTGTCCAATTCGTCGTGGGCTTGCCTCAATAACGCCCAATGGAGATCCAGATGCCTTTGTAGGGCTGGTGTGACGGTTGGAGCGTTCGAGGGTAATGTTAATGATGATTCCAATTCGTTGCATCTTCTCTGCTACTGTCAATTGCGGAATCTCCTTTGACTTGATCTCCTGTTGTGATCTTGATGTTGGCTGAAGTTCGTCTGGGGGCCTTCGGTAGCCCGCTTCCAGTCGGTATGTTTTCCAGGAAGATTTTCTGATATTTCTCGACCAGCTTCTTAAGTGCCACTAGTCGTGAAGAGTCTGCAGAATCCTTGCCATAATTCTTAATGAGCTGTTGGATTTTTCCTTGCAGCTCGTTTTAGTCATCTAACAGCCGATTGTGTAAGTCGATTCTGTTTTGGTTTGTATGCTCGATGAATGAAGTTGACATAGTGCAGGTTGTTGTCAGGTATTACCTCTGTAACACGTAGCTGACTGCGGTTCTTACAAATTTTTAATGAATGGTCCTATTTAAATCATTTTTGGCATGTATATTGGTATTGATAAGATGAACCAAACCTCATTTAAATCATTAAAAAATAAAAAAATGTGTTTAATAAGCTCTGACCTTGCATACAAAATGGTGATGATTTTAACATAAACATGTCCAACGATTTATCATTGTTCAAAAAGTGACAAAAATTCATCACCTTTTAACCTTTCTTTCAGCGCTAAAAAGATGCTTTGCCGTCGTTGCATTCGGCTCTGCCTCCGTTACGTTCGGCTCTGTCGGCGTCGCAGTCGTCTGCATGATGATTTTGTGCCAGTGCTGAATTGCTGCAGGGAATGTAAAATATACACTTGAATCTTAGGTACAGTAGGCTTTCGTCGATATTAAAAATAAATAAAAAATAGTAAAGTCACTGCAGGTGACGGCAAGGTGATCACCAGCCAGGCCAATGATGCCCAAGCGGCCGGAGCCAATGCCTTCGCCGAGAAGGCTGACGAGGGCACAGAGATCACTTCACTTCCACCAGGAGAACGCTGGCATCAAGGAGCTCTAGTGAATTACCGGCGAGGAGTGATGACATCAGCGTTTCCGTGCTTATGTTTATCAAGCACTGGAGGAGGAAAAGTGCTAAATGGCCTGTAAAAGCCCCCCAGGAACTGTACATAAATAAATAATAAAGATGTAGGCCAAAAATTACTATCGCAGGTTGCGGATAGGGAGCGCTCTAGTTCTCCAGGGTAGCTACGAATAAGCGTGGAAGTTGGACACGGCCCGGCTACCGCCAAGCCCCCAACACGAAGCGCAAATAAGTAGCCCCGGATAGTCAGCGGGTATCTGCGCCGTAGCAGTACCGACGTCGCGCTTGTGCTGCCGCCTCCGACAAATAGCTCACACATACCCTTCCCACACTCTTTGAACCTACCTCTTCCCTACCCACACAACTCATCTCACCCCGGGCTGGACGGGACAGAGAACTGACGTGAGGCAAGACGGTTGTATAGTCGAGTGCGCTCTGAGATTATCTCGTTTTAAAGTCAGTGTAGCGACGGTCGTTACCTAAAAAGTGTACTGTGTATAGTGCGAGACACTCCGGGACTAAAGGTACGTACCAGGGCACTGTTCCGGCGGGGCCTCCGAACGTATCCCCAAATCTTAAACTGGTGAGGCTGCTGTCGGTTCGTGGGCCAGGGGGGGGATCCTCTCCCGCGCCCATCGAGTGAGAGGCTTTCACCTCGAATTCTCTCTCACGTGCACAGCATCCACAAGCTGCCACCCGCGCGTTTTTTCCCTCATCACTGCAAACAACAAAATCAGCTGTTTACAGTGTTGAACAACGTCGGGGTAGGAGCTTAACAGCGCGGATCCCCGCGCCTAACAGCACATAGTGTTGGAAAGCGCCATAAACGCGGGCCCAGCCAAAGTTTTTGAATTTTGAATATTCGAAATTCTCCAAATTCTGGCACCGGGATTCAGGGACGGCAAAAGGCAGAAGGCCAAGGATCGGGCTAAATTCCAACCCCTCCGCCGCGGCGGTGTCTATCAAAAGGGGCACTGGGGACCGAAAAGGGGCGGTATATCCCCCATCGTAAGCCTAGGGGAAATCTGTGGCCAGCGCGGGAGCCTCCCTCGAACAAACCGGGTAGCCTGAGATGGAGGAGGCTGAAAACCCTTTCGCGGGCAGACCAGTGGTGGCAAGATCTCCCCGCCAGCCGAGGGAAGATGGGACCGACGGAGTTGCAGCGGCATTTAAGAAGGGCAGCAAGCTCGCCCGCTCGCCGGCACCTTCTACAACCCAAGTCGATGAGCTGTTCGTAGACACCGAGGAAGCTAAGGATACCCCTAAGAGGACGCGTGATCCTGCGAGCCCAGCTAACTCGGAGAGGACAACGCCGGCCAAAAGGAGCAAGGCCTCCCACGAGGCAACCTGTCTGGAGGATCTTTTGGAGCTGGGGAAGCTTCTGCAGGAGGTATCCACCAAGATGATATACAAGACGGCGCGCCACATAACTGTCGCCACGAGGGAGACGTTCGTGCGCATGAAGGCGCTTCACACGAACATCCTAGAGGCGAACAGAGAGGGCGGCAAGGACGACAGTATCAGGGTGAATGGGCAAGATGCTGCAATTGTGTGCGCGAAATGCTCTCGAAGCCTGCAGAGCGCCGACAAAGAACAGCAGACAACGCCTGTCTGGAGGAGAGATTCTGCAGCGCAAACGGAGCCTTGGCGAAGGATAAGCCAGCCGACTGTGGCTGGAGGAACCGTGGTTCAAGTGGCCCCACCATCCACGCGCCCAACGCAGCAGAAAAATGCCAAAGCTTCCAGGAGCACCCGAAAGAACCCGCCAAAAGGGCCACAAGAGAGAGATGCGACGCACGCTGGCGCCAGTAAGACTGTGAGCCCCGCAATTCCGGTCGCTGAGTGGGAGGTGGTCAAGAAAAAGCCGAGGGCCACGCGTCGCGCCAGACCCGACGCCGTCGTTGTCCAGGCGAGCGGGAAATCGTACAGCGAGGTGTTAGCCATGGTGACTCGAAGGGAAGATAAACAGCTGTCGGACTTGGGAAGCTGTGTATCCAAGGTACGCCGCACCATTAACGGCAACCTACTGCTCGAGGTGGCCAAAGGCAGCGCAGAAAGTGCAGAAGCCATGAAGGAGAGCATTGCGAGGGTGCTAGGCGAGGCAGCGTCAGTGCGAGCCATGTCGGATGAGACCAAACTGCTCGTTCTGGAGATACGAGACATCGACTCCATCGCGACGGAGCAGGAAATCTGCGCTGCGATTGCGAGCCAGTATGGTATCGACGCGGAGCGCATCAGAGTTCGGAGTCTGCGTCGAGGCTACGCGGAGTCGCAGCTAGCTGTGATCAGCTTGCCCTACTCCCTGGGGAAAACCGTCCTCCATCGTGGCGAGGTGCGGATTGGATGGACCATCTGCAGGATCCGCGAAAGAACAGGCCCCCCAAGATGTTTTAAATGCTTGGAATCCGGGCATATTGCAGTTAACTGCAAGAGCCTAGTGGACAGGAGCGATTGCTGCATGAGATGTGGTGAAAAGGGCACAAGGCAGCCAAGTGCAGCAAGGAGCCTTCATGTTTATTCTGCTCTGCGGCAGGAAGAAAGGAGACCAGGCACCAGGCAGGAAGCAGACTCTGCCCAGCCACAACCAGCGGGACAGGGAGACCTCGGCCGTCATGGAATTGATTCAGATAAATCTGAACCATTGTAGGGCCGCGCAGGACCTGCTGAAGCAGACGGTGCGTGAGCTGGGTTCTGAGGTGGCGATACTCAGTGAGCCATACAGAGTGGAAAGCAGCAGCGATTGGGTCACGGATCGCACAGGCAAAGCTGCACTGTGGCTCTGCGGCGTGAGTGTTCCACCAATGCGGGACACGATGGCAGTAGAGGGATTTGTCCGAGCGAACGTAGGCGGCACATGGATCTACAGCTGCTACCTGGCCCCCAGTCTATCACTGACGTCCTTTAGCAGGATCATGGACGAGCTGATCAGCGACCTAAGAGGAAGGAGCAACGTGGTGATCGGAGGCGACTTTAACGCCTGGGCCGAGGAATGGGGCTCCCTCTATACCAACGCCAGGGGGCGCACCATCCTTGAAGCAATTGCGTCTCTGGACATCGTCCTGTTGAACGAGGGCTCCCAGCACACCTTCAACAGAGCTGGGGCCGGTTCAATCATCGATCTATCGTTCGCGAGCAGCTCGTTATCCCGTAGCACACGCTGGAGGATAGGCGAGGTGTTCACGGCCAGCGACCATGAGGCCATCCTGCTGACAGTTGGCGGTCCACCGTGCCAAAGCCAGCCGATGACCGGGCCAAGAAAAGCCTACCGCCAGGACACCTTTAGGACACAGACCTTCGCCAGCGCACTGGAGGGATTGGCTGTATCTGAGCTGGACTCGGCAGATGTAGCAGCGAACAAATTGGCAGCCAGACTGGAGGAAGCCTGTGACCAAAGCATGCAGCAGCGTAAGACCTTTCGGAAGCACCACGCGCCAGTGTACTGGTGGAGCGAGGAAATCGCTAGCTTGCGCAGGACCTGCCTTCGAGCCAGGAGGTTAGTCCAAAGGGCGAGAGGCACCGCAAACCTTTCTGTCTGCAACTCTTGCTTTAAGAGTGCAAAGAAGGCACTCAAACTGGCGATTCGGGACAGCAAGAGGGAGAGCTACCTCAAGCTCTGTGACGAGCTGGAAAACGACCCATGGGGAAGAGCCTACAAGACGGTGGTCAAGCGTGTGAGTGCCGGCAACAGGTCGCCTACTGACCCAGCGGTCCTGGAAGGCATTGTCCAAGTGCTGTTTCCAGAGGGTCGCCGCCATTGCATCCCCCGATGGACGCGACAAATTGGGAGCCAGATATGTCCGGTCACGGAGACGGAACTATTGTCTGCGGCAAGGAACCTGAAGAGCAAGAAGGCACCCGGGCCGGATTTGGTCCCGAACAGGGCAGTGAAGACCCTGCTATCCCTCCATCCGGGCGTGGTAGCATCGCTCTACAACACGTGCATGCTGGAAGGGACCTTCCCCGACAGGTGGAAGCGCCAAAAACTTCTGCTCCTGCCGAAGCCAGGGAAACCAGCGGGCGAAGCTTCTTCCTATAGACCCATCTGCCTGCTGGACACTATAGGCAAGGTCTTCGAAAGGGTCATTGCAACAAGACTTAACGCTGCCATGGAGGACGCCGGTGGACTGTCGTCCAACCAGTACGGTTTCCGTAAAGGGAAATCTACACTGGACGCGATAGAGAGGGTCACCAATATTGCTGCTAAAGCCATCGCGGGTACCAGATGGAAAGGTGGGACGAAAAAGTATTGTCTAGTGGTCACGCTGGACATACGGAACGCGTTCAACACAGCCGATTGGGGGAGGACACTGGAGGCACTACGGTCCTTCAACATCCCGGATTACCTGCTGAATGTAGTGCACAGCTACCTCAGCAAAAGGGAGTTGGTCCTAGACACCTCTGTGGGCCCCAGGACGTACGAGGTGACAGCCGGTGTTCCTCAAGGCTCGGTACTGGGCCCTCTGCTTTGGAACACGATGTATGACGGTGTTTTGAAGCTCCCACTGCCGAGCAGCACCGACATTGTGGGCTTTGCGGATGATGTCGCGCTGGTTGTGGTGGCCAAGGAAGTTGCGGCCGTGGAGGCAGCTGCAAACTGCGCAATTCGAGCAGTGGAGGAGTGGCTCACAGTGGCGGGCCTAGAGCTGGCCTCTCAAAAAACTGAGGCGGTGCTGATTTCAAGCAGGAAAGCAGTGGAGTCGGCGCACATACAGATCGGAGGGTCAACGATAACTTCTCAGCGTGCCATAAGGTACCTGGGAGTCATGCTGGACACCCGCCT